GGTCACACATCACGTCACTGGGTCACACATCACGTCACTGGGTCACACATCACGTCACTGGGTCACACGTCACGTCACTGGGTCACACATCACGTCACTGGGTCCCACATCACGTCACTGGGTCACACGTCACGTCACTGGGTCACACATCACGTCACTGGGTCACACGTCACGTCACTGGGTCCCACATCACGTCACTGGGTCACACATCACGTCACTGGGTCACACGTCACGTCACTGGGTCACACATCACATCACTGGGTCGTGTCACGTCACTGGGTCACACATCACGTCACTGAGTCATGTCACGTCACTGGGTCCTTTTGTATGAAGCCCTTCGACACCAAGAAGTCGTAGATCTTCCGTGTCTTATTCACATCGATCTTCACGAGAGGCCTAGCCTGCGCCAGCTTCAGATAACCAAGCTTCTTGTACTCTGTGATCAGCAGGTTCTTGAACTGTTGGTACGATGCGGGAACCAGTCTAATGTTGGCACACAGCTCCCTCTCTTCTGTGCTGAGCTTATCGTATCCAGGTAAACCAAGTATGTGAAGCGGCGGTGCTGATCTCCTCTCTGCAATAACCAAGATGATTCAGTTAACGTCAGCCACACATAAACACCGTATATGCTCTATATTTCGTGGTAGTTTATTTTTCGCGAATTTCGCGAACGCGTCCTTGACCGCGAAAATAACAACACGCCAATAATGCATACCGTATAATACCGAATAATTCATAATTCACCGACCGCGAAATTAACCACTCGCGAAATTGTCCGTCAAGTCTGAATTCGCGAAAATATCTGTACGTGAAAAAATACGGCTTATACAGTAGCTAAATGGCACACGTGCTAGATGAATATTGAACTGCTTTTCAACAGAACCGAGGGGACTTACTCATGTTTGGTAGGGTGATATTCTTCATGGCCTGTCCCTCTCTCACCTGTTTCTCCAGCCACTGCTTGCAGACAAGCTGATCCTGTGGGAAAAATTGTGTTTATTGGGCAGAAAAATTACCAGCTTTCGTCACGAACAAGGAATGCAAGTCGGTAGCAGCATAGGGGTAGAACAGTCGGATCTCGAATGACGGTGCACTTGTACCGCGACATTTCGTATCACGATGGCCCTGCCAAATGAGGTAAGGAGTTTATTGCACAATGAAGATTTTGTAGGTTGACAGCGGAAAATGTGACAATTCTTACCACCAGGTAATTTTGCCCTGCCTGCTCTGACGCTGCTATGACTAGCAGATTTTTGTCTCCACTGTTATGCACAAGCATTGCCACGACGTGTGAAGAGACCTAGCTGTGACCCACACTATCTACCAGATATATGATTCACTAGGGGGACACTGTATATGTGTAAGAAACTTCTTGCTTCTTTGAACATAGACGCGAATACTCGCTGCTTTGTTCGAGCAGAGATCGTGGCCAGACGTTCGATCTTAAGACGTATCACTGAGACACCATAGCACATGGAAGAGTCAACGATAAGTTTGGCTTTAACATGTAACTCCTATGACTTGTACATAAGCATAGTTTCATATCACGGTGGTTTTTGTGGTACCAGTTACCATTGCTATATAAGATCTGACTGTACTTATTCCTACAACCTGGCATGGTGCCCTACAATTTCTGATTGTAAACCAATGGCAACACTCGCCTTGCCCCCGAAAAATTATAATTTGACCTCCTGAAACGGGTATGTACATACATGTGTTATCGTAACAGCATCAGTCGTCATACGCCTCCTATTTGCCTCCTCTTCTCTTCTTTGTTTTACCGTCCTGTAGATGGCGCTACTGCTCAGCTTTGTCAGGCCTGCCGTGCAGTACTCTTGTAATTGAGATATTTGCTCTCTGAGTTCTGCTTCATCTACATAAAATAATAAAAACACACGCGTTTTTTGCAATTAAAATTAATTATATAAAGTGATTACAGCAAAGACAAGGAGAGATTCTACTAGCACTCTATCAAGCAACTTGAAAATTCAATATGGTTCCACCAATTGAGTGATTCTTAAATAAAAAAGCTAATGCAGGGATAAAAAAAATATTGAATTCTACCCTAAACTGTTATTTCAGATCGTACTGTGCTGAATAAAGTCCAGTATTCGGGGCACCATAGTAAATAAGGTAGGCAACCACTGCACAAGCTGCAGGGGGAAATTGAAACCCTGCTAGTAGTGTTACTTTCTGATCTATTACAACTGCTACTCACAATGCAGGGCCTCAATGAACATGTCGTATTCTGTAGGGTGCACAAGCCTCATGAATGGACGCAGCTTCTCTACAGCCATGCGGATGGTCCTGCCATAACGCTTGGCATCAAGCACTACAAAATATCCATGGTTCCCCCCACTGCTTTTATCACATGTACGGACATTGCCTCACTTATCTTGCCGAATGCACGCAATAATTATAAAAGCGCACAATCTTGAATTACTATAGAAGAATACAGCCACCATCATTTACCTCAGTAGCAAATTTTCCTTTGTTATAGCATACTGTGTGCTGTAAATTATTTTTAGAGAATAGTCTGCTAGAAACAAACGATTGGCTAACTAATTTAAATCAAAGCCCATGCATTCACACACACGTACAGGTGCCTGCCTGCACTCAAACACATCATTAGTACACGCAGCAATTACGCTGTGCATGGCATTTCCCTTGGGCGCTTACCACTGAATCGGCGCGCATGAAGGAGGCCACAATGGCGAACTGTCTGGTGGCGCCGCCAACGTTCAGCCAGGCGACTTAAATACACGTTGATCACGGCAAACTGCATCTCTGAAAATACATGGCATCCATCGGTCAGCGCTGTCGAATGTTCGCGATGCGAGGCTAGGAAGTATTAATACTACGATGATAGGTCGAGTCTACGAGGTTCCACTACAGAACAATAGGAAATATGCAAATATTAATTTATTTTTCGTTCTATAGCAGTACACCGCAGGATATCCATATTTGTACAACCACATCCTATGCAATTAATTGTATTTGTACACGTACGTACAAACCAAAAAATAAGAAATCCAGGAATAAACACCTGTGCATACATATTTTAGTTACAGACCACCACCCTAGTCGCATAAGGTGGCCCAACGCAAAATTATAACAATTCAGTAGGCACAGATGAATGCCGATAACAGATCAATCATTGGATTGAATCACCGTAGCAACGCACCCTGCATAAGCAGCTTCTCATCTTGAAGGTCTTCATCGTTCGTGTCGCGTCCTGCCTCCGATGCATCAACGTCGTCCGCCGGCGCCGCGAAGTCAATGTCCCTGAGATCGCACTCGGCAAAGTTGTCTGGCTCTGTCGTGAACTCACTCCTTGCCGCCTCGTAGCCGGCCATGTCAAAGTACCACGGGGTACCGGCGACGGGGCGTGGTGGCTGCTCACTCACTGCACAACACGTCAACCAAAGCTGGGTTTACGTTACTGACCCTTAGCCGTGAAGTTCGATGAGTGGATCGAATTATGTCTACCTGCCGAATGTCTGTTATCACTTAGCAGAACTACCTACAGCCTACAGCAGTTTGAATTTGCACACAAGTGAAGAAGAAGCCAGCAGCGACCGAGTTGTGTCAGCCCCACATGAACAGGATTGTTTTAGCATGTTAAAGGTGGCTTCCCTCGAACTTTCCACGTAAATTTGTGTAACAAACCACTGTAAAAACTTCAGTAAATAACTCACTACACTTTAACTGAACGTTAGCTTTGAAAATAAAAATAAAAATATGTATATCAAGCCTATTATATCAAAGAAACAACTCGAAAAATGCTTTTCGCCACGGTTCCGTAGGCGCCATATTGTTTATATTTGAGCAACCATCATTTCAATCGAGTCAATGTAGCCACATTCAGATATCATAACATTTAATATAAATCATTTTATGAAATCAAACTTTGTAGTCTAGACAGAGAGGCATCTCGACTGTTTATGTTATTAATTTCAGAATTTTTACCGTAACCGTTTTCGAGATAGAACGTGCTAAAAACCCAACAAAACCTGACAGGACTCTCAACTCACTCGCTCCCTCGCTCGCTCAGAATATCTATCAGAATACTATAATCTCCCAGCAACAAAAACGTTGCACTTTCCCTATCGGCTAGCCATGTGCGTGACCAGAAAAACCATTGGGTAATAACATGCCAGTGTGTATAATTTTACATAGCATGGTTCATACATAAATAACACGGCAAGTGTGCGGAGCTGAACAATCGCCGCATAGCGGCAACGGTAAACGCGTTTGAAACATTCGACCCGAACGTTTCACTTTGTAGTCTAAAAGCTTTGAATGAATGTATTCCTGGGGAAATTTTTTCCACCTATCACACATATATAGGCAACTAGAAGCGTGCAATGTTAAAATAATTCATTTTTGCCTGATTTTATGTTTGCTGCTTAAAAGTTCGAGGGAATATCCCTTTAACAAGAAAATCTCAAATCATTCCATCCCAACAATATGCACAGTCACCACATACAATCTATCGCTCAATGAACAGGTTTGGAATCAGTTCATACATTTATAACTTTGCCTAAAAGTTCTACCAGCATCTTAACTGGTATCAATATGGCGGCATTGTGTAAAAATAAAAACAATAATTAATTAAGTGTAACTCACGATCGAGTCAGGTTGCTTACATTTGTAAACTACGGGTTGTGGTTGATGGTCCGACGGCTGTTCAGGAAACCGAGGCAAGCTCGGCAGGGGCTTGACGACGTACGACTTCATGTAGTGAGACTCACACTGCTGCTTGTTCTTTGTCATAACTTGTTTCGCTACGTCACTCCTACAAAGTGTAATAATAATTCGCGACATCCATTTTCCATAATCAACACAAAGAAAGATCACCGACCGATATATAAATATAGGTCATTGAAAGAAAATGCGAAGTGGCCTTTACGGGCAAGGTTGGCACTCTTAGTCTTAAGAGGTGGTTTATAACTCTATAAGTGCCACTTATAAACCCCAATACTGCCAAACATATGGATTTCACAGAGGTTACCCTTATATATAGGGGGCTACTCACAAATGTTTTCTTCTATGTATAAATTTACAGAAAGGGTTAGGGGATTAAGTTCACTCATACTGGGAGGTTAAGACACTTACCAGTTTCCTAAACCACGGTCTCTGATTGCATCTAGCAACAGCATCTCTTCATTGGCTGTCCAGTCTTTTGAAAGTATCGAAAACTGATGTCTCTGCAATTGTAAATGTAACAAAATCTTGCTGATTGATGGCATATATATATTATAAGACGAAAAGCTGTTGTTAGAGTTACGATATCAATGTTTTGGTCTCTGTCAGTGTGTCTTGTAGTTGTACTTCTACCAGTACCATATATACACTTCGACTTACGACTGGGTGGTACAGCAGGTAACATACTTACACACATTTAGCCTACGTGTGTGGACCCGTGTGGTAGCCCGACCAGGCTCTACGAGGGGGGTACAGGGGGTTGTCTTCCTCCAGCCTCCCTCCCCCTCTCTTCTCGCCTCCCTCCCCCTCTCCTACCACCTCCCTCCCCTGTCCTCCTATCTCCCTACCTCAACACCTCCAGGATCCTTTATATTTTGCTTTATATTTTCTTTTTTGAACGTCACTTAGTTTCTCTGACAGTTTGTGTAATAAATGTATTAATCCTGTAAAATGTATTTTCTCATGTATTTATTTCTCATGCTATGGATTTCTTTGATTTTTCTCTACTTAGTATACTCTCTCTCTCTCTTTTTTTCTCAATCCTCCCGCCCACTGGCCTCCCGTCTCCCGCCCCATCCTCTCCCGTCTCCCCTTCTCCCGTACCCCCGCCCCCACAGGCACTTGGACCGTCTCAATAAAAAAAATTAATGGTAAATAAACACAAAATGTACCAAAGTCTTAATGTTTCTCTACTCTATTTCGCCTATAAGTATAATCACCTGTAAATGCCAGTCAAATGCTCATCTGCAACACGCAAGTACACCACACGCCCGCGCTGTGCACAAACAACATGAATAAGAGAGCAGGTAGGAAAGCGTAATTGAAAAATTCGCTCAACGCTCGCTTTATTTCACACCTTCACAGCACAAATACACATCCAACAGCTTCCATCTTGGTATCCATGTGTACAGAAATGTTCACTTGTTCGAATTATAACGCTGGCCTTTGTTCATACCTACTCCCGCCAGAGATATCTCGTGAAATCCTGCACGAAATGTGCTCTCCGTGAAAATGTAAAGAGGACGTTACCGTGAAAATGTAAAGAGGACATTATCATCCGAAAATCCCTAAAGGCGCTGCTTTCGATCGATCACTGTAGTCGTGTGTGCGTGCCGTCATGCCCGCGCGCATTGTGCTTGGCTTGACGGGCCTTGAAATGGAGCTCGGAGGCCAGCAGCAGCTCATACCGGCATGCTATGCGCCGCCATTACTCGTGTATAAATAGACATGTCGTCCTCTTTACATTTTCACGAAGAGCCCATTTCGTGCAGGATTTCACGAGATATCTCTGGCGGGAGTAGGTATGAACAAAGGCCAGCATTATAATTCGAACAAGTGAACATTTCTGTACACATGGATACCAAGATGGAAGCTGTTGGATGTGTATTTGTGCTGTGAAGGTGTGAAATGAAGCGAGCGTTGAGCAAATTTTTCAATTGCGCTTTCCTACCTGCTCTCTTATTCATGTTGTTTGTGCACAGCGCGGGCGTGCGGTGTACTTGCGTGTTGCAGATGAGCATTTGACTGGCATTTACAGGTGATTATAGGCGAAATAAAGTAGAGAAACATTAAGACTTTGGTACATTTCGTGTTTATTTACGTGCCTGTGCCCGCCCTCCTCTTCCTCTACGGCTGTGTTGGGCCCGTGTTCGGTGTTGGGTGGTAGGAAAACCATTGCAACAACATTTAATTTTTAAAGCGAGATGTGTGAAATCAGGAGTAGATAATAGGGAAGGAGTGTGACATCAATAAACAAGGGAAATTCGTCATTTACTAGCCTGAAAATACCTACGATTTACTACGCGTAACTCATCCAACTTGAGCTCAAATCGTACACAGTACATTCGCCTAGCATCGTGCGAAATCGTTTCCTCGTTTACACAAGCAATCCGGAGATACAGACTAAAACGTACGACACGATTATCCATTCTTTGGCCATCAATCCAAGTCCATTGCCCGCCTCCTATTCAAAACAAAAGGCAGCTACCTAACTCGCTATTGCTAACTCGGCGAGGCATGTGGCTCGCTGGAGATTAGGCATCAACACTCGGCGAGATAACCTTTGCACACGGTACACACAGCTACACAGGCATACCGGCGTACAGCAGCCACCTCTGCACATACCTGTCATGCCCTCACGCACGCACGCGAACCGCAATCAGCAGCAGCTGATCGGGCTCAAATCTCCCAGCGAGCCATATGCCCGCCGAGTTAGCAGCTGTGGTTAGGTAGCTGCCTTTTGTTTTAATAGAGGCGAGAAATGGGCTTGGATTGATGGCCAAAGAATGGATAATCGTGTCGTACGTTTTAGTCTGTATCTCCGGATTGCTTGTGTAAACGAGGAAACGATTTCGCACGATGCTAGGCGAATGTACTGTGTACGATTTGAGCTCAAGTTGGATGAGTTACGCGTAGTAAATCGTAGGTATTTTAAGGCTAGTAAATGACGAATTTCCCTTGTTTATTGATGTCACACTCCTTCCCTATTACTATTAGTATTAGTATTATCTACTCCTGGTTAAATCTAAACATGTGTTGCTGTGCCAGTGCAAAAAAAAACATTACTAAGTAAGTAAAAAGGAAAAGTGCATGATGATATCATTACTATTATTTCATATGGATGGTTGCTCCGATGGTCTCCATCCTGGTAACCGCGAGAAAAACACTGCAAACATAACTGTTGTGATTTTCCGTTTTCGATGCGACATGCAGAGCAACGAATGTAAGGTGGCTGTAGTTTACTCCAACATCCACAACACAGCGAACTGTCCTCCATAACTGAATGTAATGTGTGGCTACACGACAGACCTACATATAAAACACGTATATATATAACATGTTTTTTTAAACACTAACGTATTATATACAGTAATGTACACTACGAAATCTGATAACTCGTGTTGTTTTGGTTTTGCTAGCGATGTGGCGTCAGCCGCTGATTCGGCACTGCATGGATCGTCAAAGAACAGCCGCCTGAACTTATATTTATAAAAACAGCCATAGATATATACAAACACATATATCTACATATTATTTTTTGCATATATCTAGAATGCTGCCATGGTGTGCTTCATACGCTTGTCTCATCAATTAAATTGAAACAGGACTTCGGCCCACTGCCTAATCAATCGTCTGCTTCTGTCCAACGTAGCGCCGACAGGGGGCGCAGCGGTCTCGCCCGTTTGTGGAAGTAAATGTTGTTATGTTGGTCGAGTAGGTTAGTTCAGAATCAGAGCACTTATATCAACTTGAGTTATATGCTCTGGTTAGTTGTTGTTTATCTTAGCTTTGCATCGTCTGGAACTAGAAAGTAACAAGTATGTCACTTTACTACATTGTAATGTGGTAAATAGGTAAAATTGTTCATTTGTTACAGGATTATGATATGTACTATAATGTAGTCTGTAGACTGTAGACTGTAGACTAGGCTTATGATATGATATGTATGTCACTTTACTCAAGGCTCGACACTAACTTTTTTTTTCAGTGGGCCCGATGTTCCCAAAGATATCGGGCACCAAATAATGATGATTTTCAATTTTGGTGGCCGAAAAATGAAATCTGGTGTGGCCCGAAAAAAAAAACAAAGAAAAACAAATCTTTATTTCAATCTCGTATTGTATATTTAGTTTGAAATTGGGCCGTGATGCTACTATAAAAGTCTTGAAACAAACTCCCCACACAATGGCACACACTGGACATTGATAATTGAGGCTACCAATTTGAATTATCCATTGTCACGGGCATCAAATTTTCAGCCAGCAAATCTTGCATACCATTTTTCTACTTTCACTCATTGATTTTATCTAAACACGCGCGTGACATGCTATCGATCAGTTCAACGTTCAAGAAATCAAAGTCACAGGAGCATGCAAATATTAAAACAAGTAACTGTAAAAACACAACCACAGCATTGGCTTTTTCATGTAAAATTAAAACATATTAAACTTTTATGTCAATTGAAGTTGAAAATGTCTGGCAGCTTGAAAACTGTAAATTTAGAAAATATTGCAGATGTAATAGATAAAAGTAGAACCATATTACATAACAAAGATAGCCTGGGTACGCATGATTTAAAAAGAAAAAGAGCCATGTCTAAGCTAAGTTCAACATAGTTCGTTTTGCGTAAAAAGACAGAACAAAATGCAATAAAATAACTTACAATGAGCACTAATATTAGCACTTGGAATTTAAAATACTGTCTTCTTCTGGAATAGTCAGTATCTACGCAACTTTTCGAAGTGGCAGTTTCGGATCGGAGCTCGAAACATGGAGCACCAGGTGCAGCTAGCTAGCAATAGGGTGAGCACAAGAACGTCCGTATATTTTGCCCTGTGTCCTGCGTCACGTACCGACCCTTCCCGAGGACGCATGTGTTCCCGTATTTTTAACATTTTGACAAAAGTACATCAAAAAAGGAAGAAAATTTCATCTCATTTTTATTATGAGCAATTGTTGCTCCCCCCCCCCCCTCCGAAACTCATCGCTCGCGTTCATTTACATGCCTCTCACAACGTACACTGGGGAACCAGGATATTGTTAAGGACGAATTGTCTGGTTCGCATTTGATACAATGTATCAATGTATGTGACTGGCGTCTTGCAAATATGCGGCGCTCAGATTTGACCTCTGGGTAAGACTTGGTCCGCCTGAACTCATTCGTCGCAGAGACGTTACATTGTTCTAGCAGAGCGTGAGGCCGGATACCAGTCTAACACAATAACGTGGATGTTGGTAGCCGGTAGTAGACCGATAAACCCTGATGGCGCGCGGTACGCCCGCGGCGTAGATAGAATGCTGCGATGCAGTGCGTACGTGTGCCATCGACTCCGCGAATTGCATCCTCGCTTGTTTGAATGAGATTAGCAGTAAGAAGGAACAATTATATTTATCAACATAGCACTTTGAAATTTAGTGCCGCCGATCGGCACACCAAATTTTTAAAACATTTTGGAATTTTGACTGCCCGACAGTCAAGTTTTGGTGGCCCCGGGCCACCGGGCCACCGCTAGTGTCGAGCCTTGCTTTACTATATACAATATGATATACGATATGATAAGTATGTCACTTTACTACATTGTAATGTGGTAAATAGGTAAAATTGTTCATTTTTACAGGATTATGATATGTAGTCTGTAGACTGTAGACTGTAGTCTGTAGACTGTAGACTAGGCTTGCAGATCGGTCGCTAATCAACAATCGTATCTTTCAAATGTTAAAATTAGTCATTTATGTGATTTATTATTGTTATCACTGTTACTAATTTAGAACAATTAAGATGCTAGTATTATCAAATGCTCATGCTACAATCAATATAGAATCATTTACTGCACGGAAAAACAGGCAATTATTCTTTTGTTACAATACAGGGAGCCATATTATAGGCCATGGCTCTGCCGACCCTTTCATCATTTTGGGCTGCCCCACTTGTGAGGCACAACGTGAACGAGAGGCTGCTTGTCCAGAGACGGGAGCATCAAGCTAACCAGCGAGAGTGTTGGGATAAACACCTTGGCTATTTTCAGCGGCATGATATCATCACAGCTAAACAAAACCAATGGCTTTCAGATCGCTGCTATAGGGAAAGGTACCAAACACAGGAACATGGGCCGTTACAATAATGTATTAATGATATGATTTTAAATGCAATGCACATATTGTATTTGATATCAAAACCATACATAAAGTGTATGTACTCTCTATCACTTAATTATTATACGTAAATGTTGTGATATGTCTTTTATGTTGTAAATACATGCAACTGTATATATAAACTTGGAGAAAGATGAGATTTCTTTATCTTTCTGTGAATCTGTGTATAGAAGCGTCTATGTCGTAAGACTGTGTGTTGGGAAAGAGCATTTGAACGACATTTACGTGGTCTTATTAGGTGGTAGAGAGCACATAAACAAGATTTTGATATGAAATGGCCCAAGTGCCTATGGCAACAAATATCATAGTGTAGCGTAATTTCAAATATCATATACCTAAAGTAATAAATGGTGACTATGGTGGTACTGTACGTTATTTTTTCCATGTTAGATTTGTAAATGCATCACTTTGTTATTCTATTTATGTTTACTATACATGATCTAAAAAGAATGCATTTGTTTGTTTATTATTTCTTGGAGAACAGCAGAATAGACCGTCCTCTCTGATGAGGAGTTAAGAACATAATTTTAAGTAATTTTAAAGCAAAATGTAGGAATGTGTGCAGTGAGTTGGATATTGTTGGCGGGTGTAATACTTGCATTAAACTAGAGTGAATGTTGAAGTGTTACAGTAATCTCTCTCCTTAGCATGGAAGCTTATTCGGATTCAAAGGAGCCAGAAAAGAAGGCACATAATCTGGCAGAGAGAAGGAGGAAACTAGCTTCAATGCTGCAAGCAGACAATGACCAATACGAGGTATTTGTAATTATTTATCCAGATTAAATCAGTCAAAAATGAAATCAGTTACACAGATATTATTGTATACTCTCTGCCTTTCTATCTGATGCATCATCTAAGGTTTTTTTCTTCTAAAACCAGAGTACATTAGTAACTGTAAAAATTGAACCAAAGTGTCAAACACTACACGTGCAATTAATAATTACCCGACTTATTGATTTTTATCATGACTCATCATTGATATTGATATATATATTATTCATTACTTACCAGCTGGTGTCACTTAATAAGGATTATTATTAATGTGAACATATGTGCACTTATGAAGGATAATATCAGGAGTTAATAATGACAAAGGAGTAAGACACCGATTTGGTACTGGTTTCACTACATTTTTGTCGTACGAGTTCGATGTGAATAAAAATACAAATGCAGGGTCTCCAACCATTCCGCATTCTGCGGAATCATTACGATTTCTAGGCTTAACCTCCGCATTCCGCAGCGGCAAGGTTATATTCCGCATTTCAGTTGCACTGTATAAAATTTGCACTGATTGTTCGCATTGTTCGCTTGGACACATTGTATTTTTTTCAGCCGGTGCCTGGCACTGGCCACACGCTTGTCGTTTCTTGGAAATGAACACTCTGCCATTACCTTAGTTTTGCACCTCCCCTACCATCGCTCAGTGTTATAATGTGTTTCTATATGCATTTTGTATCTGGCATGTCTACGGTAAATGGAACAGCCTAGTCAGACAGGCGCTGTCTACAAGGTGTCGCGTAGTTTGTCTGCTAATCAGATTAACACGTGGGGAGAATGGCGTCCACATTGCCATCCAAAAAACCCCGACTTTCACAGAAATTCAGGAACGAATATACACAGGTGTGGCCTGTACTTGTGAAGTCGAAACTCAGTGTTAATCATGGCTATTGCATGTTATGTAAGATAGACTTTCTAGTGGGGCACGGAGGAAAGAGTGACTGCCAGAGGCATATTGACTCTCAAAAGCATAAGTGCTATGCGGGTGCAGTGGAATCTACACCCAATATCTCAAGCTTCTTTTCAGCAGATAGCGAATTGTCTGTCATTGACGCAGAAGTGAGATTTACGGATCAATAAAAAAATACTTTGAACCTATCATGTTTCCTTGAAATATTAATTAGTAATTTGCAATAAATATTTAATCCTATATTTTAATGGAGCCATTTCCTCTTCGAGTTCTGAAAATACCAGTTCATGTTAGATTTCATTTGGATACTAAATACACGTATTATTAAAAATGAGGTGTGGTGGATTGGGTTTTGAAAAATAACTTGTAGGGTTGAGTCTAGGGTTGAGATAGTGTCATCAGACATGAGAATATGGCCCACAGTATAACTCAGATTGCAGGAAAATGGCTTAAATATTTCAAAATTTTCAGAGACCCCCATCCCCCCCTAGCGCTGGCATGCCTACGGCACGCGGGCCTGCCTGCGGAAGCCAAAGTTCATTTCGCCCCCCCCCCGTCCATCAATTTCATGCCGCATTTGGAGTTCACAAGGTTGGAGACCCTGCAAATGTACACAAACATGAGCTTCTTTTGTTCACTGGTCCTTATTCTATCTTGCGGTAGTATTACAAACCGCGTAGCTTCCTTCGTTTTGACATAAATCGTACTTTTGCACGACATGGTTTTCACGTTATTGACCGTCCTCTGGCGAGGCCAAGCGGTAAATTTGCACACACAGCAACTGGAATGAGGCGCGGCAGGGCTTTTAGGCCATAGTCTAGCCAAGTGCAGAAAATGCGCTTAGAAATTAAGTTACGTTGCACCCATGCTGGGTTTAAAGATTAAAACTATTTTACATTGAAACTATAGTTAGAATTCCTTGTTGTTATGGTTGAATCCCGCAGTTTTTTTAAATAAACGCTGCGCTGGTAAAATATCTGAACTACTTCACCCGCGGAGGAATGATGTGTATGCATCTTAGCGAGTAAATTGACGCTCCAGCCGATTGTAGCTTTTCGCACATGTGTTTTGCATAGCAACCGTTAGCTCTAGTAACTATAGCCCACGTACAGTTGCCGCTGGCGCTGCCTGAGGCGATCCCTGCCTCGCCTCATTCCAGTTGCTGTGTGTGCGAATTTACCGCTTGGCCTCGCCAGAGGACGGTCAAGAACGTGAAAACCATGTTGTGCAAAAGTACGATTTATGTCAAAACGAAGGAAGCTACGCGGTTTGTAATACTACCGGAAGATAGAATAAGGACCAGTGAACAAAAGAAGCTCATGTTTGTATACATTTGTATTTTTAGTCACATCGAACTCGTACGACAAAAATGTAGTGAAATCAGTACCAAATCGGTGTCTTACTCCTTTGTCATTACAAGCAAAGATATAGCGCCCCCTATTTTCAGGCAAATCTTTACCTTTTTTTTTTTTTTTTTTTTTTTTTAAGCCTTTTTTACGGTTTTCAATCGAGTATAGTTTAGAACCCGTCCCGTGTATTCATCGATCTCTTCTGTGAATTTGGCGCTATTTGGATCCAAACTGACGTAGTCTTTCATTAACATACATACATACAACATTCGCCAAATTATAGTAAGATTAACTCCTGATAATATATGTGAATATGTGTGTTCATGGTATTGATAGTATTAGGATCAGCACTTTGGTTCTGCGTGCTTTTTAGCAAAGAATGATCGTATAGATGCAGGTTAGTCTCACGTAAAATGAACTCTACTCATGCATTGAAACTTGCACTATTATACCTCTCTTAGATGAAGAAGGATTTGCAAATCAAATTTCTGCTAGAGCATCGATGGCTATGGTATACACTGGTACTCCTAGATGTACATGAATGAGCACAATTGGTTCTCTGACTGTGATTATTGTGCAAAAGGTTGAAATCAAAGCTGCCATAGAGATGAAACAGTCTAACAATGGGAATGCTAATCAGATGAAGACTAAGGCAGACATCCTTCGACGAAAACGAGAAGAAGAGCGAAAAAAGGTAATGTAGGTGTAAAAAGATCTGTACGTTCTTGCTTGCAGAGTACTCTATCATTGTCGTCTGCATTTAGTGTTAGAGACATACGAACGTCTGCGAATGTACGTGGGTCGTCTTTTTCGCAGATAGCAGATGATCGTCAGTGTGATATGTGGCGCAGGAACAGTCACAATTTGCGGAGCATGGAGTCGGAAAAACACCGGGACAGCGTGGTGCAGAGCTGGAAGGGGCAAATCACGGAGAAGCAGGAGGTACAGCTTGTGCATGTGTTGTGTGGTCGAAACGGCAAGAAACCTCCTGTCTGTGTTTCATGTTTATGTGTGATTAAATAGTGTTGTGTCAAAATTCGTAAATTTAGTTGCACTTTTAAAGGCATATGATCAGCCGTGTTTTTTTCCTGTAGCAGATTTTGTGATGGATTCTCATGTAAACGTTTTATTTTGTTTCCATTTAGCAACTAGCTACAAAGCAACAGGAGGAGAAGGTTTACGAAGACGAACTCAAAAGACAAGTGGAGGAAGATGAGAAGAAACTCAGAGCAGACTCTGCAAAGAAGAAGAAAGAGAAACTCCAGATTAAGAAGATCTTGGAGCAACAAATGCGGGAACTCCGTATAAAGGAGGATGAGGTAACCAAGCCTTTTATTATTATACCCCCACCAACGAAGTTGGGGTGGGTATACTGGAATCACCCGGTCTGTCTGTCTGTCCGACACCAACCTTGTTATTATTAAATCTTTATTGCATGTAATTCAAATACAAGTACATGTACTGAAGACAGTCTTTTTCACGGAGAAAGCAATAGTGTTGAGCAGTGTTGTTGTGCTTGTTAGACCTGTTGCAAATAGTTGAGTGTGGAGAGTGAAAAATGGTCATTACTTTGAGTCGTACTCGTGGCACATTCATACCTCATTTGTACATCTTGCACCGCAGGCAGAAGATTTGCGTAGAAAACACGAGAGATTGCTGCAGGATAAGTGGCAGCTGGAGCAGATGGAAGAGGAGCGTCAAGAGTTGGACGAGAAGAGAGAAAGACTTACATTCGGGTAAGCATTTTTCACGATTCTACATTTTATCATTAAATGTTAGTATTTTTAATCGTTTTCTTCAACTTTCAGATGTTTATAAGTGATATTGAATGTTTAATAAACAGCATGAATTGTCCTTGGCATTGATGTTTAGTGTTTTGTAAATGCAGGAAGGTACTTTTACGTCAACACAAGGCAGCACTGAGGCGAAAATCCAAACAAGTTCAAGAGGAGTTGGTATGTGATCTTTTTTTCGACAGATGATCTCTATCCTGCTCGGTATCAGCGTACCACGTTGTTATTATATTTTCTAACAATAAATGGCGATGATCGTGTAAACATCTACATGAAGTATGTGTGATTTTTCAAGTGGCCATCTTTATTCGAGCAATAAGAGTTTAGTTCAGTGTTATTGTTGTGTTGTTTCATTAGTTGGTGTTTACCTATAACGACCTCATCTCCAGTTTTATACATCTCAGCTCTGTTTAATGCATACAGGAGTTGGACCGTCAGATCCTCGAAACGCTGAGCAAAGTTGACGAGGAGGAAACGGAGAGGAAGCAAGCAATGAGGAGGGAAGCCGAGATAGATGCATCGTGGATGCAGAAGGTAGCTGTCTTCTCACGCGTACACACACTGGCACGAGCAATCGCATGCTAGCTGCAGTGTGCGGGAAAATGTGCGGAAAAAATTCGTTCGTTGATCAATCGCAGTCGCATCGTTTCAGAGAGTCCGCCGCGTGGCATCTACACGTGGATCTGTTGTCGGGCGACTAGCCTGACGAGTCGATAACGAGACTCGTTAACTTTGATCATCTTTCAGGTAGTTGAGGATCAGCTTGAGTTGGAGAGACAGCGCGAAGAAGAGTTGGACATCTTATACGAGTGAGACACATTAAAATTTGTTTATCACGAATTCCGTATATTTCGTTGGCATTTTGTTGATTCGTAGCGATTCTAGGCACAGTTTCGACATGCACAATATAATTTACATATGCATCTGGCTTGTTTGACAGGTAGTTCTAGCCAGTCAGTGTAGAATGTTGTGAGAGCAATCGGTTTGTAACAAAGTTTCACAAAGCTCGACGTTTTTGCATACAAACTGGGCAAGATTAACTGCCCTAGCAAGGAATTTCCAAGGGGACACGGTTATCTCTCTCGGGCCCATAGATCGGTTGAGCAATCTGTGGAACGGAAGCAGCTGTTGATTGAAGATACTGTTTCTCCACAAGCGACGGCATCGACCAACGACAAACGCCGTCGGTCGCGCTAGTTACCGTGAACGTGTTTGGAGAGCGCGACTGTAGGGAACGACTCGTCGCTCACGCGGCTTGTGCTTACAGGCAGGAAGCGGCGCACATGTGGGACAAGAGAGAGGCAGAGTGGGCGAAGGAGAGCCAAGCGAGGAAGCTGCTGATGTGCGATGTTCTGCTTGGGAGGGCCGAGCAGATACGGGAGCGCATGCGTGAGTACGAGCGACGGTCGCGTTTGTCGTACGCTGCCGTTTGCCATTTTCTATACGTGAGTTTTCTATGTACGGGAGGGACAGAGGGGCAGGTAGAGAGATTAGGCCACAAATAAAAAAATCTTTGTTTGCTCTCACCCGACCCAGGCAGAAAAGTTTGGGTAGGTAGGTTGGCTTCTTTTCTTTTTAATGGGTCTTTTTATAAATTCAGCATGGTGTCTACATGCTCGGGTGTGCTTGTGTGGAGATACCTTTTATAGTGAATGTTTGTTTTGCTTGGTACATATAATGTATTGCCTACAGATTTATATAATGCACAGTGATACAATATTTTTTTCGAGTCTGCCGCTTTTTGGCGGGTCGGTCGGGTGAGGGCAAACAAACAATATTTTTATTATGGCTTTAGCTTGTCTGTACCATCGTACTGTTTTATGTCGGTAGAGATCAACCAGCAGCTCCAACAGGTGGCAGCACTGAGGCAGGAAGAACTGGTCAGAGAGATGCATGAGTCAGAGAATGATTCGCGAAAAATCACGGAACTTGAACAGAAAAAGAAGGAGAGACAGCGGGCGCTTTTAGATGACCAGGTAATGAAAGATTTTTGCACGCGGTAACCAGATCCGAGTATAGCCGTATGCGGTTTGTATGTATTCTGTGGTAATGACGTGTTGCCACGAAATAATAACGGTCGTGCGTGACCACGGCGCTGCCTGCTAGAAATGCCACACATCCTCTCTATGTCACTTGTTTCATTCAACGTTCATGGTCATCAACAGCTTTATAAATGCCACCCTATGAATGCCAGCCTACTGCGTAGTGAATCGTGGGCATTGCAAATGCCAGCCTTTTGTGTAATACTTGTTAATGGAGAGGCTGCGGAGATGGTTGAGAGTACCGTCGTGACGCCGTCATTAACTAATGAGGTTTCGCTCATCAGATAACTGAATGCTGCTGTCATGCGGCATGCCTGTGCAGCACCCACTCTCGCGGCCTTTTCCTATGTCACGCAGACGCCTGGCTGTATTTTCTACTAAGCCGCGTTCAGCATGAACTGTACTCGGTGGCCTCGTGTGCGCTTTCTTGCGCTGGGATCGTTACCTCGTAGACTCGAGTGCTGGAACATTTGGTACGCGAGAGACAGAGGACAAGACAAATAATTTTGCGAGTCACAGTGGAAATATCGCGGAATCTTTGTACACGCACGGAAGAGTTTGCAGACACGTGCAGGTTTGAGCCAGTATACGGATGGACGATGAGACTAGGAGTGCGAGTTGTGTGTGTGTGTGTGTGTGTGTGTGTGTGTGTGTGTGTGTGTGTATGCGTGTGCGTGTGTGTGTGCAGTAATCGATGTGAGATCGGAGTGGCGAGTAAAGGATAGCCGTCTTTTAATTGCGGACGCGCATTCTTGTCATCTCAACGACGTGTCGAATCGTGTGGTGCATGCGCGCGTGCTGTGCGTGCGTGCGTGCTGCGCGTGCTGTGCGTGCGTGCGTGTTGTGTGTGGTGCATGTGCGTGAGGCGCGCACGCACGCACGCACGCGCAAATGCGTATAAGCATCCTACCCACGCAGACATCACGCAACTATGGCTGGACACTTTCACGCCATTAGAGATCATACACCGCGTCGTCAGCCACCCGCAGCCACCTCATATCTACACGCAGCCATCAAAAGCCCGAGCTCACGCCTCCCCCTCACTGCGTCCATCTATCAGCCTCACGTTACTCACAGCGAGCAATATCTAACCGACTGGTTTACTAGTACAGTCGTAAACTACCCTCGGATTGCAATTATCGTGCACACAAACCCTATATAGCGATTAATTAAAACATATAATTGCTCCGTCGGTGCTGGATATGCCCGAAATGCCTGGTTCAGTAATCAAAAAGAAGCATACCTGCCTTCAGCTGCTGTGCGAATAAGTGATGGACAGAAGTGTCCAGGGGTGTCTGAGTGGTCCAGGGGTGTCTGTGTTGGTTCATGAGTGTCTGTGTTGGTTCAGGAGTCTGAGGTGAAGGAAGGCGCAGGGGTTTGCTGTTCAATTGCATCTACGGTTACACGAGGCTCACAGTTGCTAGCTGTAGCTTTACAGAGGTCTACTAGGATTTGCGCAGAGAATAATAGTAGGGGCAGGTTTGAGCTTCATGTGTGACAGTGACTCACCCAGTTCTTATATACCAAGCATAAAAGCGGGTGAAATATGAATTGATAATAAGATGTACGGTGCAGAGACAGGGTTAGAGTTGCGGATGGGATAGGATAGGGAACGTTGACGAATGAATGCAATAAAGTAATGATGGTAATAATTATCAGTTGTTGAGTAAATAAAGGATTTATTGATACGGATTTTCTATTATACACGTATTTATTACCAATAGTATTGATATCATTGATGCGAGGGTGCGCGATAGGGATGGTTCGCCCATTAAATCCCTTACGACGTCAAAAGGAAACGGTGAACATGAATTATTTTCATAACGCAACACACGATGCATTTGATTCGCACGCGTTAAAGGAGCTATAGTACGTGTTATAAAGGGTAAAACTGACCATCGTGGAGAGAGAGAGAGAGGTTGAGAAAGATATAGACAGATAAGTAGAGTGGTTCCAGTGTTATTGGGCCTCGGACGGCACATCGCTTAACTGAATTATGCAATACTACTCTAAACATAAAATCAAACTGACAGCTCTCGGCTTATGCTCAGTGGATTCTGAACATAATGAATTCACAATCATTTTAAGAGCTAAAATTGATGCGTGTTAAACGCTGTGTGTATTGTAAAGTGCGTGTTGTGTACAAACGGTTGCGCAAGGTAAAAGTAGACATGCATGTGTCACTGGAAGTCTGTTTACAGCTTATTTGGGACCACTGTTTAATCAGGTCATTTTCATGGTTGCCAACTTATCCGGATCAAGCAGGAACCACAGTACCTAGTACTCAGTACCAACCTCACAGTTATAATTCTGCCATGGATGAGCTATTCTACGCAGAGATAACAACTTTGCTGCAAGCAAACACAAGCCCGCGGTTGTCGTGAAACAGTATATTATTAATTCATAGTCTGCAGCCTATGCTACGTGCAATGAAATCTTTATTGTTGGGTTAGCACTGAGCAATGCTTACACAATGTCAGACTTGCCGCTTCTGTCAGCTTTCGTGCAGGCGCGGTCCGTGCCGTCTCATATAAATATATATAAAGCATGAATACGAGCGGCCTGAATACTAGTTTTTCACTTGAGTATTCTTGCGCAATGCGTTTCTTCTTGTGCAAGAACGCTCGGGGAATAGCATCGGAGAATATCACCTGTGAGGTGTTTTCACTACTCAAGCGTACTGACTCCTCTACATTGTGCTGCGCGTTTGTGTGACCTCTCCTTTACTGTCTCTCTCTCTGTAGCAAAAGGAAAACGAGCAGGTGAGACGTCGAAGCCAGCTTATGAGTGCGAAGCTGGAGGAGGCTGCGAAGAAGAGGGAGGATGAGGATGCTCAGCTTCTTCAGTGGGAAGAGGATCGGTTCAATGCGTCTAATTATCAGCCCAAGGTGTGTACTTCACAGTATGCTATTAGTAGGGCTCTTAAAAGCTGTATTGATTCCACTACTTATTCCATTGCTGCAGTTGTTGCTGTTGCTGCTGCTACTGGTACTGCGGCAGCTACTACCACTACCAATAATAATAATATTATTATTATTATTATTATTATTAATTGCTGTTAATTTAATTGTTGTCATTATTACTGATTAGTGTTGACAATTGACTGCTGGTGGACTGGTGAGAATTGAGAGAGAGAGTGAGAGTGAGAGAGAGAGAGAAAATCTATCTTTCTCTCACTCTTTCCCTATCTCTCTCTCTCTCTTTCTCGTTACCGAACTATCCGTTTCCTCAATTTCCTGGTTTGCATACTCTCTCACTCCCTGTCTCTCTTTCTCTCTCGTCTCTCTCTTCCTCTCGTCTCCTCTTCTCTCCTCTCTCTCGTCTGCTCTCTCTCTCCCTCTCTCAGGCGTGTACAGGTTGAACATTGGTGGGGGCGGTCAACCGAATGCCAAAGTTCGTAGCATTCTGGAAGGGGGGTCTGTCAAAAATTTGAAATTAGACGCGCCAGGTTGGCTTAGAATGACGTTTTCTGCGCGAGCAGGAGGTCCGGACCCCCTTGACGGCGCCCCCCCCCCCCGGTAGATCACGCCCCTCCTCTTCCTCACACATTTTCATGCCCATCACTGCTCTTCTCTCTCCACTTCTCCTTTCGCCGCGCTCACTTCCTCTCTCTCTCTCTCTCCCTCATCGCCTCTATGGTATTGCTTGTAAATCAAGTATCTTGACAGTCATTCTGAAATGCGTCGCTGCACATCGCGCTTAAGTCACTCAATATTGCATTACTGGGGACATTGCTCTCTACTTGATGACAAGTCTGGGTGAGCATAAACGGCGCTTTTTTCACTAATCGGCGCAAATCATTCAAGAATCTAGGCTGGCAGGGCCACAAGACGTCACTAATTTCGAACACCGCTGGACACTAAGATTAAAGACTAATTAATTGCACGACCCCTACTAAACAAATGTCAATTAATAACTGCTGATGGCGAGCAGGCCGGAATATTTGTGGACTAAGCGAACGGGACTAGGTGGAAGCGAGGTAAGAAACTATTAACGGACGAACTCAAGTGGTTGGATTTACGAGGTAGAGTTCGTGTCTGCGCCTAGTTTCTAATTCTCGCGTGTTGTTCGCTCGTGTCTTTTTTGCTCGCCTCGTCAGATATTGGTTAAAGGTAAGGTCTGGACCTTGCAAAAAATGACACGAAATTAAATTGGGCCAAACTGTCGCTCTCAAACTATAATCCACGGGTCTGTAAATTTAACGTGAGTCCGTGTCAAATACTCCTGATTTACTTGTCAAAACTACGTGATTGACGTATGGCATGATCTGTTGTGACCTCTGAAAATTCCTGCATAGGTCTAACTTAGGCCTCCCGGAAGTACCGTATTTTTTCGAGCGAATGTCCAAGAGAAAATGTTGCAGATCACGTGCAACCGCTATAATCCATAAAAGTAAACGCACCCATGCTTTATTAAAATTAGCACTTTAATTGTGAATAACGCCCAGAACTGTGGACGTCCCTCATATTTGCCTATGCGGACTCCTTGCTTTTTGAGGGTAAGTGAGTCCGTTGTACTCCGTCGTTCAAAAGTTAACATTCCTCCCCCGCCCGCCCCAATACTCTGTGCTGATTATGTATTGAATGAATCTAATAGCGTTAAGGTTTCATATGTGGTGTATAATCAGTATGTCCACCGCCTGTCCTACACGGCTGAGAGCAGTTACCACCTAGGTTTATATCCTTATAGTTTACATCGTCAGGAGCTCAAACTACCTTCAAATTTCGCATCAAAATTGGCACTAATTTCACGGCCACGTTGCGAAGATGGAATCCAAATGCCGTGGTCGTATAAATACGATTCACATGAAAAAATTTCCTGTCGTTTAGGAGACACATCGGCCTTTAGAAAAAGCTCTCGCATTTCGCTGCTCCCTACATTCTTACCCTCACAGGCGTCAATGCCTAAACTCTCCTCATGGCTCCGGTCTGAAAATAATTTCTAGTAAAATCGGCGGACAAATGGACTGAAATGATTTTTTATATTCGGCAACCGTTCTTCAATGGCCATGCACAGGACTCGCCGTTTAGTGTTCTAGTTTCAATCGCATGCGAGTCTAGTAGAAAAGTGCAGGTCTAAGTAAAGCTTGTATACATCATACGGGTCACACGCGAGACCAGCCGGGTTCTTAGTAGTTTATCAGTGATTTCCGTCCTTTAAGGCCTCGATAAAACGGCGATCGCTTAAACGACATTCTTTTGATTACCAAATGCCACTTGCACCGGAAGCAACTTGCTGTAGGTTACACTCGATATGCTAGGAAAATGTTCACTATCTTAATTGAGAGCACAGCTTACGGGGTTATTTTCATGGTTTTGTCGGGCCTGCCGGTCGTATAACGGGGAACCAACCGTAGGTCTAGTATATGCTGGCAATAATATGATTTTCGTGAGTTATTCGTCGTTAAGTGAGATATGTGATCGTAGTGTTGCTCATCGATTTACGGTCACATAGCCGATCCTAACACGCACGACAGTACTACTCTAGTTACTCAATCCAACAATTATAGTAGAAGATTTGCCCCACTAGAGTAGGAAACGCGCTCTTGTGTTTGACTTGAAGATTGTCGCAGTATATTGCTCCTGATATGCGATCATGTCCTAGCTATCAGAGAGGAGAAAAAAAACAAGTAGCGTTACTATATGTAAAGTAAAGTAAACGTAGGCCTACTATTGTAGCCTTTGTGGCGTCATTGGGCCGCCCATAGTCTAACACTGAATCGCGTGTATGCCTCGACAGGCGAGTAGATATTTCATTTTGCGGCATTAGAAAATGCAATTAAACCTGTGACACTTAGGAAAAAACTGACCGCCTGAATTATCGGAACGTGTTTTGCAACGATGGAATTGGCAATATCTAGCATGTTTGGTGGTTGTCAATGCTACTGGAGCCCTGCGTATTGATAATAGTAATTGTAATGATATTTATGTAATATTATGTGGAAATTAATCAGACACTTGAATCTATGATTATATTTATCACGTGATCTATTCGTATTCATTGTCCGCGCTAATAGTTCCGATACTGTGGTTTTATGAGTGTACGGCGTAACTCAAGAAAAATTATAGTACGTGTCGCTACCTGATCAGTTCATGAAGAAATGGCCAGGTAACTAAAGAGGCAAATATGTAGTTAGCACGTAGTAGTTAAATAGTGATATTGCAGTATATATTTCTAGTAACATATTTGCAGTATAACTTTGAACAAGGTGTATTTGAAACAAATTGACTATAGTAGCTTACGTAAAAGCGACCTTGTTTAGAATGTAAAAGAAAATTTCTCATTCTTGGAGAGATATAATATTAGGTGATCGCCCCCCCCTCCCGAGCGATGAGGGCAACGATCTCAAGCTCCTGCGCTATTCTGTCACACAGGCAAGCTTTGCTAGCAACTTTCCTCGTGAAACCATAGCGGAACGACGTCTGTCCACGCGTTGGCTAATAATTTAGCAATTATCAAAATGACTACCATGCTAATCATATAAGCTTAATCGGTCGCACATTTTAGCTATAAACAGTTTAAAAGGCACTTATCTCTTGATAGCGCAAAAAAAAAATAGGCTATCAGTATGCATTACTGAATTTAGTTGGCTATCAATCCTAAATCTGCGTGCGTGTGGTCCGTGAATATATATAATCCTGATACGCGTAGGTTGTAAAAGGTATTGAGGGCGTAAACGGAAGTGTGATAGAGTGGAGTGGTCATATAGAGAGGCTCGCGTTGTCTGCGCCTGCGCTAACATACAATGCGCACACGCGATTCTGCGAACGTCCATGACAATACCGGGCGTAATTTCCTATGCGCGAAACCCGACCCGATTGCGAAAGTAAGGTCTATACAACGCATTCGCCGCTTTCCGTTGCTTTTAGGTAAGCACCAGTTGCCGTTGGCCGTGCGTCGTGCGTGCGAGGTTCTCACTCGGCGTTCTCTATCCTCCTCCCTCGCTCTTTTCTCCTCTCTCCTCTCTCATCCCTCTCTCTCGCTCTTCTCTCTCTCCCTCTCTCTCTCCCTGCTCTTTCTCTCTGCTCCTGCACATCGCCCTGCTCTGCATCTCTCTCGCTCGCGGATCGCCGCTCGTCTTCCTGTCTACATCTATCTCCGCTCCTCCTCCCTCCTGCCTCTCTCCCCCCCTCTTGCTCTCTCTCTCTCTCTCCTCGCGCTCTCTCTTCCTTCTCTCTCTACCTTTCGCTCATCCTCCTCCGCTCTCTTCCTCCCTCTCTCTCTCCCGGATCTGCTCTCTCTCTCTCTCGAACTCGGTGACCCGCTTCTCTTCTCTCGTGCTCGGCTCTCTTCCGTCTCTCTCTACCTCTTCGCTCATGCTTCCTCTCCCTCACCTCCCGTTTCCTCCTCGCTCTCCCCTGCCCGTCTCCGTCTCTATTCGTCTCTCTCTCTCTCTCTCTTCTCTCTCTCTCTCTCTCTTGCTTTCGGCTCTCCCTTTCTTCGCTCGGTCTCTGCTCTCATCTCGCTTCAGTAGTATATATATTAATAATATATACTATAGATAGATATATATATATAGTATATATATTATATAATATCAGACAGTGTATAAAGTGTACATATATGCGCGGTGCTACGACATTTTACCAGGTAAAATAACTAAACTATCGAGAGCTCAACCACATTACCGAAGCCTATCTGAAATATTTAATATCTGCAATGAACATAGCGGCAGCAACAAATACTGTGAGGTGTATACAATAACTAAACATATAATAATATAGATATATAATAAATAAAATAATAAATAATAATAAAAATACTGTGAAGGTGGTCAGTGTATGACAGCGATTCGCATCGCTTCCCCGCTTGTCTGCTCCGTCCTCACATCGTGTTGTGTTCTCCGTTTTATCTATAGTGCTACCTGCGGCAAAGATGGCTGGGACGTGACGGACAACGTTCGCTGGACAGCAACTACCTTCCGCGACGGAGAGAGGCGTCCGGACGACTCCCTACCGGTCACATCTTGATCCTCCTGCGTGCAAGTCCGCCCTGTCAGGGGGACGGGATGACCACCGGCACTTGCGATCGAGGCTGTGACTGGACCTGCGCGCACGGCTGGAGAGGTTGATCCACTGCTGATGCGAGAGATAAACGAAGGAAAGCAGCGGATGATCACAAGGGAGAGAGGAGAGAGGATGAGGAGGGAGGAGAGGACGGAAGAGAATGGGGAAGTCAGAGAATAAGGATTGCCCGGCGAGAAGAAGAAGGGGGAAGCAAGGATGAGGT